TGGCGCCATTACGGCCGTTGTTGAAGATAGCGGCGAGGTACTGGGTTGGCCACTTCCGGTCGATGAACACGGGATGAGGGGCGTAAACGGCTTTGAGGCCGTGGTGCAGAGCGCAGGATGCGGGCCACATTTCGCTGAACATGGTGTGGCGGTGACGTGACTGTTCGCGGTGCATCGTTTCGAGGAGGCGGCGGGAGAGGCGGCCGGAGGTGTTGATGGCGGTGCGGCGCGGGGGCAGGCCGTTCTTTTTATCATACCCTGTGACGTCGTCGGCGAGGATCCAGTTGGTGTGGTCCGGGTCGAAGAGAGGGTTGAAGACGATGAGGTCGGCGGGTTCGCCAACGCCCCACTCGTACTTGTCTTCTGTGATGGTTGTGTTTGGTTTTACGGCCTCGTCGATTTCGATGTCGGGGTAGTCTTGCGGGGGCTCGGGACCCCAGACTGGCTTCTCGGGCTTTTGCATTTCGGCGAGTGGGACGTGTGGGTTGGGTGGGAGATGCGATGACCATTTGTTCGCTTGGTTGTTGGTGCCATGCTGGGTCTGCCAGTGCACCATCTGCTTGAACTCTTCCCAGGTGCCGTGGACTGATGGAACGTAGAAACGGGCGTCGCGCTCCCACAGCCCTTTGCGCGGCTGGGCGGTCGTCCATTTGGAGACCTGTTCGAAGAGGTGGTAGTGGTGGCCAGTATACCGTACGTCCATCTCCCAATGCCAGAAGAAGTCGAACTCGGGGTGCTGGTGTGCAAAGTACGTGACTGGCATGAAGGTGGAGCGATAGACGCCGTGTACAGGTAGCCCGCGGTAGTTGGACTCCTCCAGACCGCCGTAGATCAAGCCCATCTGACGTTCCGACCAGAGCGTGCCCATGCCGGCGAACTCAGCAGGTAGCGCGTTCTTGAGGACCTCCTGGTGGATCGCTTCGTCGGCCCAGATCTGCTTGTTGTCGTCGTGGACTTGGATCAGGAAGTGGACTTCGTATTCGCCGCCAGAGGCGAGGCTCAACTCAGAAACGAGTGCGCGCAGGTACATGATGTCTTCGTCGTCGTAGTTGTAGTCGTCCCATGTTCGGACGAGGACTGCGGTCCTGGGGAGGAGCGTGTTGTGCGCCGCCTTCGGCTGTAGTACGGTGCCGTTTGCGGGAGAGTCTTCAGCATCGCGTTTCTGCATGGTAAACGAGTCTGTCCGGGACTTGGGTTGCTTCTGGAAGCGGCCCTTGTTCTTCTCCAGGCAGCGGTCGATTGCCTCCGCCCAGCTGATGTCGCGGAAGTCAACCTCGGCGTCCACCTTCCACACGTCTTCGATGCCTTCACGATCGCCCTCCATGCCGGCGCCCGTTCCACCGCGCCGCTTGCTGTATCCGAGGCCATACGGACCGAGCCGCCCGAAGCGCTCAAAACAGACATCGTCCCTCAGACCCAGTGTCTCGTAGCTCCCAATGACGTTATCCGGCATACCCTGGGGTACGCCCTTGTATGCCCGCAGCCCTGGCACCTTGATGGTGTCGTTCGCATCGACATAGCACGTCTCGACCGGCCCGTATGTATCCACGTAGTTGACGCCGCTGTAGTCTGGGTACGGATCGAATGGTATCGAATCGGCAATGTGTGCGCCCTGCGACTGTCGCTTTTCGATGTCGTCCTTGGGCTCCTCGGCGGGCAGCTCAGGGTCGATGTCCTGCTTGGTGGGGTATTCGGGCACGTTCTTCTCCCGGCTCACCAGCGACCGCACGCCGCCGTGGTAGCGCTTCAGGAACGGGAAGCTTTCCCAGACGTTGGGCGGCGGCGGCGGCTTATTCAGGCCGAGCTCTGCATTCCGTATCGAGGCCCAGCTGCTGCTGAAGAGGAAGTACATGAAGAAGAGCAGCGTACTCGCCACGGCCAGCCCAAAGTATCTTGTGCATGCCCGCGGATTCCTGTAGCTGTATGCGCTGACGGTGGCTTTCGAAGGGGCTCTCCGGTGAGATTTGGAGGACCGTCGCAGCGGTCTCGATTCAATGTTGTTCGGGTTCGGGTCGTATGCGCCCGACGATTCGCGGGATGAGGATGGGCTCGTTGTGCCCGAGGACATGTAGGCCTCGTAGTCGTCGCTTTGGTAGCCCTTCTCGTTGACTTCGCCGTCCTCGACATCGCGCTCGTGGGTCGCCGCCTGGTTGTACGACTTGGCTTTCCGCTTGCCCACGGATAGCGGACGGAAGCCTAGCATCTCGATCGGGGCGTGGTGTGACGGTGACTATCGCATGTGCGGTGAGGTGACGGCGTTGCGTGAGGTCGGTGCGAGGGAGGCAGCTGGCCAATGAGGTCGTTACGTAAGGAATCTAGAGGTGAATTGGATATATACGTGTCGGAAAGCGTATCAGTCGTATCAATGCGTAGCGGTGCAGTTGGCGGTGCTGGTGTTGGTGGTGCTAGTATACAAAGTTGCAGCCCGCCCAGGGTGCACGCTCGGAAATCGGAAAGATTGCCGCGCGCACTAAACACGGCGTTGGCGGAACAACGACCGCCACTACGCGTACTACACCGCACCACACGGCCGACATCGTGGAACATTGCTTATCGCATATAGTCGGAAGCCAGGATTATGCCCTTGCGTGCTCAATGCATTCAAAATGATCAAGATGCGCATGATGCGACGTCTCCTACAACGACCTCAAGCTACTTCTCCGCGCTCACGTGCTGATACATTACACTACGACCCCCGCATACTCACCTTACAAGGAAACCCATCCACTGGATGCGCAGCGCCCTGCGGCACTTGATATGCCCTCTCCCCAAACACCGTCTTGATGCCACTCGAAGGGTGCAGCCGGTCCCACTCCTCATACATATCCCTCACATCAAACTCCCTTACCGTCATCGCTAAGGTAATCTTGATATCCAGCATCGCCAGCGTCTGTCCCACGCAATTCCTCGGCCCAAATTCAAACGGCCGCCAGCCCCCTTTCGGCGGATACAAAGCATGGCCGGGCTCGACGAGCCAGCGCTCGGGCAAGAAGGCGTGAGGCTCGGGCCAGTAGTTTGGGTTACGCTGGATTGCGCCGTGGACGACCCAGATGTTGATGTCTTGGGTGGGGTATTTGTTTCCGTTTTTGTCGCGGAGAAAGACGCCTGGGAGACCGCCTCGCATGCCTGAGGCGGGTGGGAAGAGGCGGAGAGTCTCCTTGACTACCGCGTTCATATAAGGGAGCTTGTTGATCTGCTCTGGATGCTTCTTAAGCACACCGGCGGCTGTGTCGTTGCCCGCGCCAAACACCTCGTCGAGCTCTGCACGGGCTTTGGCCAGGGCTTCTGGGTGTTTGGATAGCATGTATAGACTGTATACGATGGTAGCGGCAGTCGAATCGTGTCCAGCGAACAGGAACAGCCGAATCTGAACCGTCGCCCACCGCTTGAACTCAGGGTCGAGCTTGGCCGCTCCTTTGCGCTCGCCCATGTACGCGGCTATTGTGATGTCCATGACAGACTTGGCGCGGGTGGACGGCTTGTTGCTTCTCCAATCTTCATATCGCTTGTCGAGCTCCGTGCTGATGTAGCGATCCATCGTTTTGCCGTTTCGCCATTCGATCCAGGGGCGGTACGGGTTCCAGCGCTTGAACGGATTCATCTCCTGGTCCCGGCAATTCCATTCTATGGAGCTACGCATCGCTGCTGCAAGGGCGTTATGGCTGGTCATGGAGTGGAGACGTGCGTTGCTGGTTGTGTTAGTACTTGAGACACACGTGATGAGCTGTTGGTATGCTTACATGGTGATGACGCCGATGAGATCCATCATATAATCACAAGTCAATCGATCCAAAGAAAACGTATCCCCCTTCTTCGCATGCTCTCGCAGCAGTCCCACGTAAACTTCGGCTTCCTCGATGATATGCGGCGTACTCTCCATCATAACCCTATCACTAAACCCCGGGTTAAACAGCGCCCTCGACCTCTTCCACTCCGCGCCATTCATGTCGAAAAGATTCGCGCCGCCCGCGAACGGCGCAAAGAACGGAATCAGAATGGGCGGCTTGGGCAGATCGTGTTCCTGACAGGCCTGCATCGCCATCTCAGGCGATGTGACTATCATGAGTGGACTAGTAAAAGGCCAGAGATCGACGTAGAAGCAGTTGTCGGAGTCTGGGAAGGAGTTTGAGAGCAAAGTAAAGGCATCGGATTGCTGCGAGCCTTCGGGAAATTGCTTGAGAAGGCCTGGTAATACTTTCATATTTCCGGTTGCGAAGTCCCATGCGGGAATGGGCTTTGAGGCGCGGCAGGTTAGTTCAAGACTCGCGGCATGTTTGGGGAAGACTGCGTACCATGCCCTGCTTTTTGAGCCTGTAGAAGATCATGCGCATCTTCACCAACTTGAACATGAAGACAGCAATGGCGGCAGTCGCTGCAGATAGCGCAATCTGCCATGTCGCGCGCTTCAAGTCAATTGAATCCATTGTACGGTCGCTTTGGGATAACGTCCCGTCGCTGCAGTACAGTGAGAGCGTGGAAGTCTTGAGCTTGTCGCTACGGTTCTAGCAGTCATTACGGGGCGGACAGTATCTCAAGATCAAGTAAGCATAAAAGACATAGGGGTATATAAGTGTCGCGAGGTCGCGAGGTCACTGGGATCGCTTTTGTAGCTTGTCGCAATAGTAGCCATTTCGGTTGTCGCGCCGTTTGGCATTCGGCTGACGGAGCGAGAACCAACAGGGCGTAGCGGCCCAGGCTGCCACCGGCTATTCCTTGCAACCAACACAACGCTCCGCATCCTTCGTCGGGTGCCTTGCAGACGAGGCCACCAGCCCTACGAAGAACTCCTCGCTAATGCCTGTCTATGCTTGACTTCACTTCCGCCCATTTCGCAACCACCGCTGCCTTCTCAGTATCGCTCGCACCGCGGAACGCGACAGCAGATCGGCGCAGTTGTACAAAGAAAATCTCCGCCTGCAGCGCAGTGAGATGCCGAGCCAAGAGCCCCCTCTCGACGCCTTTCAAGAAATATCCTGGCAGGCCAAAGACCGCTGACAGTGTTAGATAAGCGAATATCGGAATATTCGGAACCCGAACTTACCGGCTCCCAAGTGGCAGTATAACCCTCCAAGACTTCGCCCAATTCCTTTGCCAAATCCGATGGCGCCTTCTTGTTTCGCGCCGAGATAGGGGTGTCGAACGATGCCTACAAGTGCGTCGCTGAGGCCGAGCACGAATTCTTTGCCGGCGAGCTTGCAGCCGCTACCAAACCCGGTGATTTCGTCTCTTTGACGCGCGGGGTCGTTGTGAATTGCGTATGAGGGTAAGTTCCGGAAGCCGTTCGCGATGTTGTAGAAGAAGGCGACTGGGGTTTTGGCTCCTGTAGCCGCAAGATCACCAACGTAATGCGCGGTGGCGCTTGTGATCTGATACCCTCGGCCGCCTCTTGCTCTCCTTGCAGCGATCTTCTCGCGAAGAGCTGAGATGCCCGGGCGGTTCTGCGGCTTCTCGAAATTGTGCGTGTAGTCATCATCGCATGACTTCTCCGCCATCCTGTACGCCAAATGGTGAAAGTGTTTAGATGTTATACCCTTCTCCACGTCTGGCTCATCAACAGTCGGCACTCTTCTCAAGGCTTCTGCGTCGGCGTCCGTCTCGCGAGGTCTCTTCTTCAGCCGCTGCGAGAACTCGCCTGTATCGGTACCCAAAGAGGCCATGAGTCCTCCAAAAGCAGCGACGACACCGACGAATGGCCCTTCAGCACCTTCATGGGTGTAGTAATGCCGATGTTGCAGCAAACGTAGATGCTTCAGATCCAACCGTCTTTCTTGGACAAGCACGGAGGCTGCCAAGCCACTCAGATGTGCTCCAGTCTCTTTGTCACGCCAGATAGCTAGGCGATCCGGACAGATATGACATCGCATGCCATCAATGCCGAGTTTCTGCTGGAAGTCGCGCACAGTATCGCCAGCGCCGTCTTCCTCCGCAATACTCTCGGCCATCTTTTGAACAGCGACCTTGACCGAATCTTGGAGCGCAAAGTTTATGCTTGTCGCAAGGCTCTCGGCAGTCATCTGTTTGAATGGAACGGGCATTGGTCCAGCTCCGGCCTTTGCAATCATCTATCATATCGTTAGATCAGCTCAGTCAGTCATTCATGAAGACTTACCTGCCCCCAGAAGGGCTGATCACCGAAGAAGGGCACAACAACCGTAGGCCTTCCTAAGGCAATCCCGGCAGCTGTCGTACCCGCACCTCCGTGATGAACTACACAAGATACCCGCTGAAAGAGCCAGTCGTGCGGACAATTACCAATGAGGTACACATCATCCGGCACATCACCCGCACCCACGCCGCCCCAGCCCTTGGACACTATGGCCCGAACTTTGGCTAGCTTCACGGCCTCGAAGATAAGCTTGGTGAGAGCCACTGGGTCATCCACCACTATGCTGCCAAATCCAATATACACTGGAGGGGGGCCTTTCGCAAGGAATTCAGCCAGATCATCCGGCGGCGTGTAATTCGACCCAGCGTCCAGGAACGAGAAACCGGTAATGGTGATGTGTGAGTCCCAGTCAGGTGGCCGCGGGATCAAAGCCTGTGACCAAAGGTAGCTGTACGGAACATGAAGTCGCGTAAGCAAGCGATGACCCCAGAGTGGACTAATCGCATCGAGGTGTAATGTCTGCGTTCTGAACTTATTGATGACATCTCCGAGACCCTGCCAAGTGAGCAATTCCATGATGCCGAAGCTGAAGTAGTTCGCGACCGACCTCTCAACTTCGCCATATTCCATGGCCGCTAGGGGGTGGTGGAAAGCCTTTGTTGGCGACCATGGCATGGTGAAGACCATGTGCAGCGGAATGCCAAGCTTCTCCGCGCAATGAATGTGGCCCATGGACGGAGGGTTGGCAATAATCGCATCTGCGATGAACAGATCCTCAGGCGCGTCCACGTCTAACGCTGGAATCCTCTCACCCATGCCATTACCCGCCTCGATGCAACTCCTCCAGGTCCCCTCCATCATCTCGGCCATCTCTTTTCGTCGCTTGCCAATCTCGCCGGCTTTGATGGACTGCATGTTTGGTAGTAGCCCTGGGTTCTTCACCATGTAAGCCATGAGTGCTTCGGGGTCGCCTCCGATGGAGAAGAACTCCACCCCGTTACTTTCCACAAAGTCCTTGAAGGCGGGATGCGTACAGATGCGCACTCGATGGTGATACGGAGCAGCTTGTAACAGCTTCGCGATCGGAATGAAAGGCTGCACATCGCCGCGAGACCCACAGATATGTATTGCGATGTTCAGTCGCGGTGCGTCGATACTGCTGGTCTTGTCGCTGATGAAATCATCCACCAGAGTTGTGCTGCTTCTTCGCGGTTTTGCGCATCCCGGCGGTCGGCATGCCGCGGAATCTTTCTGGAGCTTGTCGAACCAGTATCTCAGATGCGTCGTGTTCCTGTGGAATTGTATAGCGACCTGGCCGAAGGTGTTGACTCTCCCGGTACTTTGCGCTTTCCCGTCATGGTACTCGCCGCGCTTCTGTCTGGAGCTGAAGTTGAGAGGCATTGCGATACCGGCTGCATGCGGCTGCTACATCGGGTCCTTGTCAAAGTATAGGGACATGGAAGATGGCGAGATGATTAACGGGCATCAACATGCTTCCACGTTGGTTTGAGTAATCAGTCTTTCTCAACTGTCGCTAGCGCACGCTTACACCTCTTACTTGTTCGGTACCCAATCTGCAGCCCGCGGATCTTCTACGGCCAACCGAGCCAAACACGTCGCGTTGCCACGCCCGCCCAGGCGATCAACCGCCCCCAGCAAACCTTCGCACGAACAAATTGTGCTCGGCCGTGAACGTCTCAATAGTCTGGACCCGAATTCGAGCACGTCGCATCGCGCGCAATGATCGCCCGCAGGGACAAAGCCTATCACAGTGTGGCCGAGGGCCGTCTACAGAGGCGTCACGACCTCTAGCTCAACGCCGCCGCGGGATTAAGCGGAGGGTCGATGACATGTGAACCGACAGGGGCCATCTTAATCGTTATCATCGACCTGCACATACGACTCCGTATCGCACGCGACACCGGTCGCACACACTCACCCAACCATGGCCGAAAATGAAGAGAAGGGCATCATTGGCCGGGCGCGTGGAGTGTCGCTGTCGTTGCTGCACACGACACCGCAGCTGGGCATGTGGCAGGCCACGGCGACGGCAATGGCTCAAGCGCCAAACTTGACCGAACTGCGAGAGCCAGAATCTGGAGGGTCAAACATCACGTTCGACGCGCATGGTCATGCTACACGTATCGCGGTTCCGGACGAAGATGGAGAGCTCACCTTGGTCAAATCCCAGACTAGGATCCTTGGTCAGCCTGCAACAGACGAGACTGTACCGGGAGAAGTGGACGAGAAGACTGGGAAGAGGTCGCGTAGGCCTCATGGACATGGTCTACACCGTCGTCGAACTTTGAAGGAGAAGCACGCGTCTTCCGAGAAGGAACCGTGGGGCCCTACTATCAAGCACGGTCTCAAGGCATTCTTGGTCTTCTTCCTCACCCCCTCCGGCTTCCTCATCACCATCTACGGTCTCAACATCGTCGTACGTACGCGCCCGCCCCATTAACACCTCCTCTTACTAACAACCCAAGGCCTGGGGCGCAATGCTCTTCTTCCTGCTCCTCAACGCCGCCCCCGCCATGTGCCACCCCAGCTGCGACGACGACTACTCTTCCCGTAAGATCTGGCTAGAAATCGACAGCCAGATCCTCAACGCCCTCTTCTGCGTCACGGGCTTCGGCCTCGCCCCCTGGCGCTTCCGCGACTTCTACTGGTCCATCCGCGCCGTCTACTTCCACGACTCAAACGCCATGCGCCGGCTCTGGAACCAGAATAAAGCTTGGTTCCGGCCGCCGGCTTGGTTCACGGAGAATGAGGGGTGGAGGGGCGAGGAGGACTTGATGCCGCAGACTTTTACGGGGGAGAGGGCGCCGCCGACTAGTATGTGGAAGTTGGCGTTTACGGTGGATATGATGGTTTTGAATACGCTGTTGCAGGCGGTGTTGTGCTTTTTTATGTGGCATTACAATCGCTTGGATCGCCCGACTTGGGCGACGGGCACGTTTATTGCGTTGGGGTGTGGGGTTGCGATGTTTGCGGGGATTATGTCGTGGTGGGAGGGGAGGAAGGTTAAGAAGATTGAGGGCCCGGAGATTAAGGTTGAGACGAAGGCTGCGGATGTGGAGAGTGGGTAGGGCGTGACCTTGGTTTGTTTGCGCCATTCGATTATGCATGTAATGACTCTACTGGACGAGTTTTTGCACCTGCAGTTCTTGTCATTCGAGGCAACCTAACTGAGTGGGTGTGATGTCGATTCGGAAATCGGGAGTCCCTCGTCTGCTCTGCGGCACCGCAATCCTACATCTTGAATGACAACGAAAAGCGCGAACTCGTCTTCAAAGAGGAAGGCCAAGAATACGCCCAAGTCGTCAAGATGCTCGGAAATGGTCGCCTGGAATCGACAAAGAGATAAGAAGACCGCAAGAACAGAGACGTCGATGATGCCCAGGTGCGTTCGGCGCTATGCGCACGTTAAGTATCGGATCCAACACACCCAGCGACTCCGCCGACGAGAAAGATTGCAGCGCCAACGCTGTGAACCCCTTTGACAGCGCCGCGAAGCAGCAGTTCAGCCCCGACGACTCGCGCCTTTTCCTGATGATCCAGATCAAGGCGAGGGTGCTGAGGGCGCCGATAACTACGCTGGGGAAGAAGCCAGCTGCGAAGGAACATGTAACCTTGGAAGTCACACATCCACACCATGCGATGCCGGCCCTGCTGATTCTTCGCCCGTCTTGTCCCTTTCCAAAAGTCACCGCGTACCAAGCTTAGTAATTACTGGTAAATCAGTCAGCCTTAGGTTTACGTCTCCCTCCAACTCGGCGGCGGTGCAGGATGGCTGAGTATGCTCTGTTACGAATATGCCCGCCAGTGCGGGGCACCTACATGTGGCACAGCCACTGTCTGCATCTCAGCCTCGAAGAGGCGGAGCGACAACAATTTTGCACACTTCAAATTACTTGTTATACTATCACAATAGTCGCGAGGTTCCCGACGCGGTTTCCACGACTTTACCACCATGGCAGAAATCATCGGGTTGGCAGCTTCTCTCATCACGCTGGCAGGCGCGAGCGCGCAACTCGCCAGAACGCTGCTCGAAGTCGCCAACGTCATCAAATCAGCGGAGTATGAGGCTAGAATGATTGCCGCAGATATCTCGGTCTTTTCAAGTTCGCTCACGCAATTGAGTATGGTCGTGGATCTGCCACACTCGAAGACGGAAAAGCTTCGCGAGATCACCGTCGTCTTGATCGGCGCATGCCAAACCCTCATAGAGGACTTGAGAATGCTGATCGGGGAGCCGGTCCAACATGATCCTTCACGGCGTGCTTTCACCATTTCACTCATACGGTTCCGATTCAGGTGGATGAAGGTTGGGCCTAAGGTCATGTTTGTCAAGAGCTTGGTGGATTCGTTTAAGACTACTATCATCGTCCTTGTCTCTACCATGAACTTGGCTGTCGTACTGCAGCGAGATGCCCCGGAGTCTATCAGGTAGGCATTATAAGATTGCAGTAGCAGTATCATGGTTAACGTTTGTATAGCGATAGTCTGAAAACACAGGTTGAGAGCAACATTAAGTTCGCAGAAGACGCTACGGAATGCCTGCATCATCATCGAGATGCCCAGCAAGACGATGGTTCTTCCATTACGCTCACTCTGGATCCCCGCGCTGCGATCGAGGCCGAAGACGCGACACCGGGTGCGGGTGGAGAGTTGGTAGTCCTTGATGCATCACAACAAGGTATTACGAAAAGGCACGACTCAACCATCTTCCAGAGCGGGGACTTTGAAGAAGATGACTGCGCCCTTCAGGCTGCTCAGAACTGTACACAAATTGTCGAGATGCAGCAGATGTCTTGCGCGTTTGCCAGAGATGTACTAGACCATCAGAGTCTGAAACCGACGTGGAGCTGGAATGCGACCAAGAGGTCGTCTGCGCATGAGGGATCACAGTTTTTACCCGCAAGCGAAGATGGGTATTCGACAGCGGATACTGCAGGAGTCCAGGTCTTCCCCGCAAGCGAAGACGTTTGGTTTACATCAGACACTGAAGGGATCCAGATCATCCCCGCAAGCGAAGATGGTTACTCTACAGCGGATGCTGAAGCTTATGCAAGAGCTTCGTCCGAGGAAAAACGCGAAGAGTCGATACGTCACAGCGAGCCACAAGAACGACGGATTCCCTTTGGGGAATCGTTTGCACATACACGACGTCCAGACTCCGAGGCGAAGAGAAGCAGCAATCCGACTGTCGATACTGGTGTGCATCGGCAGAGGTCATCAGAGCGCGATAGTAGTCCACGGCAACACGTTCCACCGGATGAAGATAGTATACTCAAGAAGCTAGAAAACTTGCTTACATCCAAGGAAGACGCAGAGAAAGAAGCTGCTGAGAAGGCGAGGAGAGATGCAGAACTTGCAAAATTCGACAGACTAGAGAATCTGCTTATATCTCAGCAGGAGGCAAAGATCGAAAAGGAAAAGGCAAAGAAAGAGGCTGCTGAAAAGTTGAAGGCGGAGATGGAAGAAAGTCAAATGGACAGGGTGGAAAAGCTGATAATGGCGCAACAGGAAGCGAAGGCTGAAATAGAAAAGGCAAAGAAAGAGCATGCTGAAAAGGCAATAGCAGATGCAAAAGAAGTGGAGAAAGCTAGAACAGCGACATTCATCTTCCATGATGCAGTCGGCCGCAAGTTCGAATGCCCCTGGCGTTTGTGCAACACTTGGGAGGTGAGTAGTTCGCACACTTGCTTAGAGCTCGCAAGCTAACTGCATTAGGGAATGCGCGATTTCATCGCAAAGGTCAGCTCCGGCGTAGCAGTGCTCTCCCAGCTCGTCGACAACGGAGAGTACGATCTACTGAAAGACGACCTCATTATCCCGCCGCATCTCTGGGATGATATGGTATCTCCGGGTTCATCGGTGACCATGCGCGCCAGAAAGTTAGCCTCGCCTCCGGTTGACAAGAAGGCTTCATGGTTTCGTAGGTCGATAAGCAAGGGGAGTGGCTAGGAATACGTTTGAGATATTATTGTATCTGTTACTATCGAAGCGAGCGCTCGCAACAACAACCTTGTATCCAGGGTACTACCACTACTCCTACTAACACGACCTCTATCTCAGCCCGTGAAACACTGCCGCATATGTCTAGGCTATTGCATCTTTTGTTGCGCCTTCGCTATCAACATCAACTTCAAGCGAAGAATGCGTCTGCCTACAGCGCAATGTTGCTACCCTAGCAATCTCTGTCAATGGCGCCCTCACAAAGCGGGAAACAATGCTCACTGCATCGCATTCATCAATGATCGGCATTGTATACCTGCCATGCATTCTCCCTCTAAGACCATCTGCTTATGTAGCTTTTCGAAGTTGCGCAAGCATAAACCACCCAATCTCACTCCACATTCCGGCCGTACCATTAACTTATGTCCCCTGTTCATCAACCGTAATGTCCCAGCCCACCCTCTCCAAATCCTTCAAGACCAACTCCTCGAACGCTCTACTAGCCATGGAATGAGGCGTACTTGCAGGCACCAAATCCTTGAGTTGGAAAGGTTTCGCGTCCGCTATGTCCTTGATCAAATTTACCCGCAGCGCCCTCTTCTCCTCCCCTTTCTCCGCCATAGCCAGCAACTCCACAATCGAGGCCAGTACGCCATCGTTGGTGATACGGAAAGATGATTCGTATCCCGCATCGAGCAACACGTTTCGTGCGAGGAGAACTTTCGGAAAAGCGTACGCCAACTCAAACAACTTGCACCTTGGAACACTATGCGCGCACATATGATAGTAGTGATCCTCAGCCGGTGCAGATCGCTTGAACCGAGTATAGCGATAGAACTGCTCCGTAGACTCCGCGTAGATCTGCTGGCTCGTCCATATCCACGAGTACTCTTGGGCGTGTCTAGGTCCCTTGCAGGTGTCTCCGTTTTCGGGTATTACGAATTCCCATGGCAATATGTGATTAGCCCTGTACTTTCCAGTAGATGAATACTCAGCCGTAATGATTGGGCCCCGGGGCATGAGATCGTGGTCCGCGAAGTTCCAGGTTAGCTCTTGGTAGAAAGATATTATTGTGCCGCTCCACGCGTGATGGTATATCAGGTCGCGAATCTCTCTAGGCAGTCGGAAGAAGCGGCCAAGGAGCTCTGTGTGGTGCTTTCTGGCTCTTTGTTTTGATCTTGCCGCCTTGCGCCTTTCGTATGAGATCAAGGCCTCGACGAGTGATGGCCGTTCCTCCTCGACCTTTTCGCTTAGATTGACCGCGCGGTAATGTGCCGCGTATGCTTTCTCGCTCGCGCGTGCAAGCACTTGGTTGAGATGGGCTATGCGTCGTCTTATGGCTCTTCTCTCGAATTTCTCTGCGCGTCGTGCGGCCTGACGCTGCTCTCGTGTGGGGGTCTGATCGGCGACTTACATCTCTTGTTCCTCTGTCCGTTCTTCCAGCTTGGCGCGGGTCACTCCTTTAGAAGCCTTGCGCTGTTCGTGTTTTAGAGCTTTAACGTTAGGATGTCGATATAGGTGCACCGGGCGGTAGATCGTGTCGAGTGCTGTGAGGGGGGGTAGCAGGTACGACGGACAAGTATTTTGCGTGCAGAGCTTTTTAAGTAGATAGGTCATCTTCGTCCCATGGTACTGCGGTAATGCGACGCAGACGAGCGACTCACAACTTGCGAAATCCATATGTACCCATCCAATCAGGTCCTCTCAAGAAGAGAAATATCGTTAACACAAGAGCTTAAGTAGATGGACGACTGCGCCGTTCGCTACCAAACATCCGACACCTATAGCTGTTCCGTGGTTCACATACGACCCACAGACAAGACGAGCCAACCATAAGTATGATGATTGCAACCTCTCTCATTTGAGGAGTACCTTTGCGAATAGGATGGTGATGTATTGCGGGAATCGGGAGTGGCTCATCGCTCGATCTGCGTCGTCGCGGTACCAGTAGATGGGGTGGATAACAGAGAGTCAACCATGACTAGCATCGCCAAATATAACGAGGGGGCATAAGACAGGAAAGGAAAGAGAATGCAAAAAGGTTCAAATCCAAGGAAGAAACCCCTCTTGTTCCTCATCCTGGCCATCGTTCCCCTACCTCTCCTCAAAAAGCAGATCTTCCACCAAAGTGGGTTCATAAGACCAGTCCAGCTTACCGCGCACATTCCACTTATCCCCACGCGTCCTTTCAGAACGCCCATTCAGTCTAAGTTGCAGCTTTGAGTACATCATATACGGCTGGCAGCGATCCGAAGCCCCCTCTCGCGACAGATGAAGAGTAAGCCACTTGAAAGCGCCTTGCCCCGACCCCAAAAGACGATCTGCAATGCCGGTTGCAGATGCGACAGTGCTGTCTTTGTTGAGTTCGGGGTGGGGGATATTGCCCCAGATATCCTGTACGAGCTTTTCGCTGTAATCGTTTGCTTCGTGGGGAATGTGCAGCCAGAGATCAAGCTTCGTAAGATTCATGCCTAGTAGGGCGACGAGATGTTGCGGATCGATCTAATGGTACGGTCAGCGCAACTACGACTTGGTCCGGGCGAGCGGTGCTTACGTTGCGTTCGCAGGGTGCGTCCCAGCCCAGATGCTTGAGCCTAGGGAATGTCCGCGCGATGTCCTTCAAACGGCTGAAGGGCATGACAACCTTGTGGCAGTATGCTTCGAATGTAGGCCCAAGGATCAGTGTCTCGAGTGTATCCTTGTGCTGCTCAATAGCGGGCCAGATGTCGTCTATACCCGCTTGCGCTCGTGACAGATCGAGATGTTCAAGTGCATCAATCGACTCAATGAACCGCTTCGCGGGCGTTTTATCACCCTCCCACATCCCAAAACTCAGCACTTTGAGCTTGGGGCAAAGTCCCGTGAAGCAAGAAAAGAAGTTTTCAGGATGTTCGCCGCCGAAGTCAAGCTTACGCAGTCGGGAACAGTCGATAGCATCGCGAAACATGCGACAGTAGTCGGGATCCCAGAGATACGCCGTCTGGCCATGATATCTCAAAGTCTGAAGAGTCATCTCCTCGAGAAGAGGTAGGCGCATACCGGTGGTGAGATCGAGACGCGGTATCTTCGCCGGCTCCGTATCGGGTGTGAAAAGGTTATGACCGTCTTGCAAAACTTGTAGCCGAAGAGATCTAATGTTCCCGCCAGTCGCCAGTGCTTGGGAGAGTCGGGGCCACTCGGATCGGCAAGGGTGCTCGGGGGCGAAGCCCTGCATGTATACCTCGTAGGTCAAGCTAACAAGAAGCGGAGATGACAGAAGCTTCATGTCCATCTGACGATGTGCAACACTCTTTGCCGTCTTCCGGTCGACGACAATAACGCGTATTTCAGGTTTCGGCCACGTCGCATGGATTATGTCGTATACTGCCGGAGGTATGTGCGTGGAGGTCTCCCAACTACGAGAGTCAGTATCAGTATCTTGAACCGGTTGAAGGAACATACTTGAGTGATCGAAGATTCCTGTGCTGTATAGTCTTGTTGAGTATCGTAATCAGGTCTGCAGAGGGTACCTCGTCTTTGACGGTGATACTGCGGATATGCTTCGTAAGGTCACCGTGCTCATTCTTGGAGAGCTTCTCCACGAGTGCCTGGTATGCCGTTGACTCTCCATTCAGGATGATGTTACGATATATGTAAGGCAATGCCGCATCGTGCAAGACTTCGGAAGATTGTGCCACATTCAGTAGGTCTGCGGGTGATGTGTCCACAATATCGGAGAGAATGAGGTGGTGAATGTCATCGGGAACGACGTTTAGGTTGACTGTCTGACTCGCAACGCCCTGCGACCAAGCGGAAGCGGCGGCATTAGCGATGGGAGTGATGCGAAGTGACATTGTCTCCGTGTTTGAATGATAAAAAGGAGGCGTGATCAAACGACTATGACGATCTTCGATCTGACTGGAGATGCAAGACATCTTTATACCTTAGTCTTCCCCAGGCAGAACTGTGAAGTAGGCGCAGCAAACGACGCGGTGCCAACAGGACCGAAAGCCATCACGACGACACGAGATTCTGAGTCTGCCTGAGGCAACTCCACATTGGGCGGTGAGGTGAACATCTCGTGGCCTGTTCCAGAATCAAGACCCTAACATGGATGATCGGAAGCATGATCAAAGGCTGTCGTTAAAGTGGACGAGGAGGTGCCTCGTGTCGTTTCCATTAGGCTGAACCGCCCAACGTTCACCGCCACGGCTGCGCCACGACTGCGCCACAACCCCCGATCCCTTCGCGGCGCCGAGTAGTCATGTCTTGACCTGTCCCACGCGAAGATATCGGAGGGTAGCTGGATTGCTCCGTGCTTGTGGTACCCCGAGTTTATTGTGTGAAGCTTGGATGAGGATGACGACGGCGCGCCAGTCAACGCGGGTTGAGTCGGGCTCTAGCCCATCACAGTGGTCGTCGGTTTTTTTTGCTGTCATGGGCATCAATAAAGAGCGCAAAGGTTTCCGTGAACCAAAAGTCTTCGCCCACCATTTGTCAGTCTTTATTAAGATAGCATAACTCCTCGTCATGCAACGCGCAGTTGTCGCAGAATTGGGTGAGGTGGAATTTCCTGCAGAACTTCTAGATGAAATGCAGGATCGATTCTTGGTATTCTCCAGCCGTTCACCTATGTACTGGGCCTTGGAACTTCGCACTTTTGGCCGAAAGATATGGGATCAGATCACGTCCCTTGGCTACGTCCATTGGTTAGATAACGGCCAGCGGCTATCATACAAAAGTCTGTAGCTGGACATGCAGGCATTGCGATGGTTCAATCACGACCC